TTATAATATATTGTGATTATATGTATAATATATATATGTGTGTGTACGTGTGTGTGTGTGTGTGTACACATTCATGTATACATATATATATGTCTGTGTGTGGTGTTTTTTGTGTATGTGTGTATTCTATTTATATATCTATCTATCGATCTACCCTTCGATTTATCCTACCTTTGTATGAATATATATATATATATATATATATATGTGTGTGTGTGCGTGTGTGTGTTTGTGTGTATCTTTTATATAAATATATATATATGTATATGTATGTATGTATGTATATATTTATTTATTTATGAATCGCACTGTGCGCAAAAGATACCATTTACTCTGGAGGGCGAATATTTCTATATCGGGTTCAATTTATTCAATACGCCAAAATGTTTATATATACTTTAACTTGACCCAGCAGTATTGTGCTAGCAGCTATGGCCGTGGACGTAGAACGATCCAAGTGTAAACAAGTTGATATATTGTTTTACTATTCGGCGATAAAAGATGCATACATGAATCCAGGCCTGCATTGTGATAAGTATTTCAGCCGGGCTTATATCGGCCAATGGAGAAATGTATTGTTTGTAACATTTTGACGGCCACCCGTCTGTACTTTTGTCAGTGAACTCAATTGTGCGGTCTTCTTTTTTTTTATGCAGTATTTGCCAGTCAAGGATGATCGTGTGATAGGTGCCGTGTTGAACAATGGCCGTGACGCATTTCAAGTCGATATTAGAAGTGCGCAATTGGCATCTCTACCATACCTATCGTTCGAGGGTGTAACCAAAAAGAATAGACCTGATTTCAAGGTATGTGTTGAAACTTCGTCCTGAATTGATGCGATGCTGCTTATGGCAGTATTGTATTTTCTCAAGTACGAGTTTGTAGGTGTAGATGATTCAATGCAGAATTTGTTCTCGGCACTGAGATATCAATGTAATCCGATGCTGTGCGACGCGAAACGTGATTTCAATCTGGTACTATCGTTGCAGTACATGCGGACATCGATCTGTTTCTTCAATCTATATTTATTTATCTACTTTGTTCCATATTTGGACCTATCAGACGGGCGATCTTGTCTACACTCGCGTGCTTGTTGCCAATAAAGACATGGAGCCGGAGTTGTCCTGCGTGAACGGCCAGGAAAAGGCAGATGGGATGGGCATCTTGACCGGTGGATTCTCATTTCAAACCTCATTAGGGCTATGTCATAGGTCAGTTAAGTTTACATGGTTATTTCGAATTGAAACTTTCAGTTTGTGGTGTAAGTTACTGAGAACTTCACAAGGGTTTTTATAAACTAAAGTAACGGTTATGTTTGCACTATTTGCAGGTTGCTTCGTCCGAAGTGTACACTTGTAACCGCACTCGGTGAGCATTTTCCATACGAGATGACAGTCGGGGTATGTTGGGTTTTTTTATCAAGTTATTCTAAATTTTATCGATTGATATGGTAGCCTCATATTAGTCAAGTTAGTGTTTGAATTTGAAAAATCGACCACGTCACCCCTCCCCTTTTTTCGTTTGTGTGAGATGCTTGGCACTGCAAGGTTTGTAATCCCGTTGGAAACAGGTTAGTCATTTTGTCTAATCATCTTTGAAATGATGGCCTACTTTTGCAGTTGAACGGCATTGTATGGGTAAAAGCTGAAACCCTCGAGCAGACAATAATTGCCGCAAATGCTACGATAAATTCTGAATTTCTGAACGAGGCGGAGATAAAGGCTATGGTGAAAAAATTATGTCAGTAACGTATAATTTAGAGTCAAATGCGAATCAATAAAACTTAGACAACATTACCTTTATTTTGCTCCTTAGTATTTGGTATAGAATAATGCAAACCGCAAACTGATGTGACGCAGCCTGCTTGCATTATGCGTAGACATACATCGTGCTTCCTCACATCACCAGTGTCAGGAAAGAAAAGAATAGACGCGGAAATCGATTACAGGTTTGTTCGACATCATTCTATTGATTCACCATAGCAAATTGTTTAGAGGCAATATCAGTCATCTATCAAGTATACACAGTTTACACGTATCTTATGTGTATTCCGTCCGCAATATAAAGCCTATCCATGTAGTACACGCCGAGTCAAAACACTGTAACCACTATCGGGGAAGACGCATAGTGCAGCAACGAGAGTGAATGATTAGTCATCAAAATTCTATGTATCAGATCCCAGATGTAAATGCACGCAGGCACGCTGCAAGCGTATGCAATTGGAAAATAATTATAGATCTCAATGCTTTGCTGAAGTTACCATCATGGATATGCAATCGTCAAGGAGTCAGTTGGGGTATATGAATCAAGAAATTAGGCGGCGATTGTGTCTCCGGTATTCGGCATTTCTGTTGGAATTCAGATTTTTCGCTGTGTATGCAAGCGCGGTGGACCATAAAACACCCCTGCTTGTTACTCGAACTGTGTGGGGTAAGTGATTTTGCTGATAGCAACATACTAGCCGAGAATTGAATCATACAATTTGAATGGGCGAGAAAATACTCGGCTATAAATACAGTTAGTTGTAGTACTGTGTTGGAGCCATGCAAGTGAGCCTGAGTCCTTGCAGAGAAAATCAATGCTCCAGTTAATTAAATCTATTTGGTTCGAGTCATCAACCACCTGTGAAGGTCTCCTTGGTTTAAAATTAATGTAGCGTATGTCTTCTCGAATGTGGTTCGAATAGGAGGATCAGCCTCCTTGAGTAGATTCTCTACAGCGCACTTCAATTGTGGGCCGCGTTCTCCGCTGTTACGCCCATGGCCAACCATAAATTTCGGAGGCAATACAGCAGAAAAGTTCATCGCACTTTGTATTGTATTGTCACCTAACAACGCCAAAATATCTCTCATTTCCGAGTGACAATCGCATCTATCACGCGTATGCTCCCATGTAGTACTGGCACCCATATCAATGTCATCGGTGGTCCCACTTTCTATCTCTACAGTTTGTGGAGAGTTTTTACTTGCCTTCCGGCAACTTAGCTGCGCAACTAAAGCCAATTTGACTGCAGCCTGGGCCATATACACAGTGTGGAAATGTAGGTCGACCAGCCCCTCCGTGAAAAACTTGCCCCAATATTTTTCCAACAAGTTACAATCTCTCACCATCTGCAGGTACAACTCATCTCGCAAATCATCCTGTCCTGAGCGCCCAGCAATTTCAATGACACTCTTGTACGCCACTTGCAATGATATCTGGCCCGACTCGTTTCTGGCCACAAAGCCTTCTTGCAACGAACGAAACATTTCAACTGATCTCTTCCAGTCCCCGAGATCACCCAACGCTTTTATAGTGGTTGTATAAGTATGGTTTGAAAACTTAATCCCCCTCGTTCGCGCGGCGTTCAGGATCCAATCGAGCCGGGCCTTGATAACAAGCTTTTCGTTCTCCTGAAAGCCTGTTTGTATGCTGTTTGACAGCGCAACTATCATAGAATTGTACAGCAGAGAATCTGCTGACACACCTCTGTCGTCCATGAGTGTGAAGATGGTTTGGACAGTACCCCACTGTCCTTCACTGACACACAACTGGAGCACCACCTTACAAGTTCGATTACACTTGTAACCACCATGTTCTGACAACATGGCTTCCAGTGCTTGATACGCACCCTTCAATTGTTTAGTCCGCGCATATGCTGAGATCACACCATCGAACGCCGTGAAACTTAATTTGTTCCTTCCAGAGTCATTTCCGTATTTGTTTGCTGCGGAGTACATGCTCAATACTCGCTCATCGTATTCCGCTCTTGCACAAGCGACTAAAAGAGTATCGTATACGCGAAAAGGAAGCTGAGGAGCAACCTTTAGCGAAGTCATATGATCAAAATATCGTAACGCCCGAGGTAAGGTTTCAGGAATGACACAAAGCGCAGCCACCAGTATACCCCATGACTCCTGCGAAGGAGCAACGCTGTTAGTCTCCATGGAATTAACGAAAGCTAATGCCTCGGTAAGTTTGTTCTCGTCTAGCGCAATCGCAATCGCTTGGTTGTAATGCGCAACGTTTAGCTGGACATCACTAGATCTTGATCTTCCCTGTTCATATGACTTCAGATCTCGCATTACTTCCAAGGCTATGAACAGTTGCTTTTCAGATATAAAAGCTGCGATGGCATTATTGTACATGCAGTGAGTAACAGTCCTTTGGTGACGTTTCACAACACCCAGCAACTTCATTATTTGTTTCCAACGGCCAACTTCAGCCAAGGCTTCTATCGTCTCTACATAGCATTCAGCATCTAATTCATACCCACTCTCCGTCGCGAAAGTAACCACTTCGTAGCACAACTGAGGGTTTCTACTCGTTCGAAACGTCTGTATCGCCTTAATACAATCACGTGCCGCTAACGTGCGATTCCTCAGATGCATATCTGCCTCTAAAAAATTCATATGTCCAGGGTTAACCCTTGATATAACCAACCTATTAGCCTGACCTGCTGACAGCTTGGTCGGCGACTTGCGACTGTGAGATTTTTTTGCTTTAGACAAGACGGCCTGTACAATCGAAGTGGCATTCTTAGGTCGATCTGTACGCACGTCGCTATTACGGGAGGGCAACCCTTTGGGTGTTCTATGGACAGAAATATCTTGCGGTGCCGTGTATTTAATTTCTCCGTTCTTTTTCCTTCTCGTTGGATGCTTGCGAATGTTGCTTAGTTTACAACTGATCAATTGGTAATCACATGTGCTGAGACTGTCACTAGAGTAGTGCACTCGACAATGACTGCGAACATAGCCAGAAAGATAAGTTGGTCGACAGTAATGATAGGTATGTTCTGCGGTATATCTAATCCGTGGTGTATGCAAGAATGCGCATACCATACTCGCAGTCCAAGTAATTGACACCATGTTGTCATAGGAGCGGTGCAAATCTTGTAAATACTTCTAAGTCTTCACGCATTATCTATTGTTGTTACAATTCCTACTTGAATCATCCAGTTTCATCGCCTTCTAAAACAGCACCCGTATACTACCTTGTATTTATAGTTATTTATTTATTTTTCTAGCGTAGCCTCTTATTGTATTTATTTATATTTGTTAGAAAAAGATCTTCAAATTGTGACATATTTATGTTTTGCACTGATATAAGTTCCTAACACGAGAAAAATGTGGGAAGTAGGAGTTGTACAAATATAACTATATAATATAGATACATGGAGAGTATTATAAAGCGACCTTGCTGTATATAGAGTATATAAAGTGACATTGTAACCAACTATTTACTTGCAGTGTGCCCACACCTAGACGATGGATCACAGTCGGTAGCTCTGAATGGATGTCGTTTACTCAAAAGACTCTACAGACCTTCCACTATAATCGATCAGCTGAATGGTGCTTTCTCCGATGTATGGTGCTTTCTCCGATGTATGGTGCTTTCTCCGATGTATGGTGCTTTCTCCGATGTATGGTGCTTTCTCCGCTCCAGATTGTACTACAATCCTACTATAGCCTAGTGAGACTCGTTTAAGCACATGGGTACCAGACTGGATGATATACAGTAATCTATTTGACATTAATTTATCAATTATAGAAGCTACCGTTGTATAGTTGACATGGCGAATTTTTTCAATTCGAATCTTTCTGGCATCCTCTATCAATTACCCTGTTACCGAATAGATTCAGACCGAACGTCACAAAAAAGTATATTTCA